GACCCACCGAGATGGGAGTCCCCCCACATCTCTCTCGCCCCACCAAACGGGGAGCCCCTCCTGCATCCAGGCTCCATCCGAGCAGGGAGCCCCCCATCCCCTCCGGTCTCCCCAGCATCCTGGCCCCAATAAGCAGAGAGTGCCCCTCACTCCCATCCTGGCCCTGTACTTCCCAATCCCATCTCTCCCCAGCTACACAGAGCGGGGAAGATGTCCATGCACCCAGCTCACCCTAGCCCCCTCACTTATCCCTCCCAGCTTCGCAGAGTCCCCTCCGCACCCTGCTCCCCACACACCCGCTGTCCCCACAGAGTAGGAGTCCCCTGCACACCGCACTTCCTCCAGGTCCCACCAGCCCCATACACAGGGACGGTCCTCCAGAACCCTGCTCACCCCATTCCCCATGGCCTCACTGAGCGGGGGAGACCCTTCCACACCCCTGCCCTACAGAACTAGGTAGTCCCCTTTTCAACCAGCCCACTCCTTACTTCCCACAGTCCTACAGACCATTATGGACACTCATCATACCCCAAGGCAAATGGGGAGGAACCCCAGCTAACCTGACAGCCATAGCCCCATCTCTGGCTCGCCTTGCCCAGTGCCTATGAGGGAGGGTGGTGAGAAGGAAGAGGTCTCTGAGCTAACAGATTCAATCCCTCTGAATATAGGCACAGCACTTTCTCCAGGTTTAGTAACATCATTCTTCAACTACGAGAAAGGGACCAAGAGACTTTCTCCGTTGGATCATGTGAACTGGAACCATAAACTCCCTGAACATTAAATCTCACCGAATGAGGGTCAATCCATCCTCCTCATCATATCCACTCATTATACTCCACACCTGAACATAGCCATTATATGAATATCATATCCTCATATCTCAATGTCTGTACTTTGACCCATCAACCATTTACCCCCAATGGGGGATATTGCAGATTATGTATTCCTTACAACACCCGATCTTAAACCGAACTTCGCACCCCTCGATAATCTGTACGTTATTCCCTGATAACCAGAAACTACTGTGCTTAAACTCTGTACCATTCACTTTTTTTTTTAAACATCATCTTAATAAAATTTTTAAATTGAAAGCGTTACCTCTGGGAGTGCATTGGGGGCCCTCCGAGCCTGCTTTCCACCCTGGCAAGCCAGCTGTGGTAGCCGCCTTGACCCAACTGTTGAAATGCTGATGTTCCTAGTCATTTAAACATCTCTAAGGCATCGACTGTATAAACTCCAAGGACATTCTGAAATGGCCTTGACTTCCTTTTGAGCTACCGTCTGCATGTTTTAAATTCTTTAATTGTTCTCTTGGGATGTTTCCATCTATTCACCAGCTAGAGCAAAATTCATGCTGCAGAAAAGTCGCCCGCTCTCTCCAAAGAATCCCAGCTTCCCATCTGTGACCAGAATGTGAAGGTCTGTGTGGAGAGATGGAGGTTGGGATAAGGTGAATCTTAGCCCCAGAGCAGAGAATAGCAGTTCAGAAATGGCTTGGTTCCCCGTAGCCAGAAATGGCTATGGGGTTCTGAGCATCCCCGGCGCTTCTCTCAGCATGTTGGTACCCAAAATGTTAAAGGCCTGACTGAAACTGGCAAACAAGAAGGAACTCAAAACCAGGCCTGTCATATTTGAGTGGAAGGGACTCTTCTTGATTATAAGTCCAATGCTTCATAGTGTTTGCATCCTTGGCCGTGTACATTGTAATCCTGTAGATTTGAATGAGTCATTGAGATCATTCTAGATGGCAGGGTCTCTCTTTTGGCCATTGAACTCTTTGGGAATGTTTTCAGATATAGGATGCTGGGCAGAGTGTGGGATCAGGCCACAAATTGGGTAAATCCTGCCCTTTGGCTTGTCATGGTAGGCAGCATGGCTGATGTTATAATTATGTATTATTTGCATTATTCTAGTGCCTACGGGTCTCAGTGTATGATCCTGTAATGCAAACAGTTACTGTACATCCTTTTCAGCAGTTCCATGTTCTTCGTGTGCCCTAATTCATTTTGTAATCAAAAATGTAATTTAAAGTAGCTTGTCTAAAGTGGCAGTGTGGTCTAATGGGTAGAGCCCTGGACTGGTTCTATTCCCAGGCCCAACAGGTGACCTTGGGCAACTTACATCAGCACTCCGTGCCTCAGTTTCCCCATCTGTAAAATGGGTATATGATTTAACCTCCTTTGTAAAGGGCTTTGAGATCTACTGATGAAAAGCACTGTATAAGAGTGGGGTATTATTGATTGACAGCTACCGCACACAGATTTCGTGATAGAAAACAGACATGTTTGACAGTTCAAAAAAAGAAATACTAAAAATGTAATATATATATAATAAATATCTTAAAAACTTCAGTTTTTTTGTTTTCCCCAAATTCTTGACCTTTGCTAAGCCCGGAATAACATTTTTGGCCCAGATACACATCCCTAAAAATTAGGATTTCTTAAAGAATACCCAGTGCAACCTTCAGCACTGCTGTATGTAATACTATTAATTATATAAAGCTATATATAATGCTAAAATAAATGTCCCCAAACCTTTATTTCCATTTCCCCCCTCACATCCTGCCCTCCCACCACACACACCAATCTTGGCAACAAGAATTCTGAATTTCAGATCATCTGTCCAATCATCTTCTTTTTAAAGGCCCAGTGTTCTGAAGTGTTTTTGCATGAAAAGTTTAAATGAAACTTTAAATGAAGTTAACTGTTAGTCGTAACGTTGAGAGTGCCTTAATAGAACTCTAGAGGGCAACAGAGTTCCATGGAAAGGCTCCGAACAGACTAAAGTTGCTGCCTTTGCTTGATACACAGAAGGGGGAGTCTTGATACCTTATCATCTGGCAAATCTCCTGTTTTCCAGCCCTGTGAAGAACCGACATTTCTCTCCTATTTACTACAGGCATTCAAGGGGTTGCCTGTGTGACTGAGATAATGGCAGATGCTGTCAATAAGTCCCTCTGCCACTTCAAGAATGAAGTTTATTTCCACTATACCTTCCTTGGAGGAGAATTTCATCTTATGAAAATAAAGGGCCAGATCCTTCCTGGCATCCTTTTTTTGCTGTGTCCCTGCTAACCTCTCCGGTCTCCTTTGTACATGACTGGAGGACAGGGGGATCCTTTTGATCTCAGGTCATAGGGAAACAGCACTCCGACCTGCACCTGTGGGACAAGCATGACTTTAAGAAGTAGGGAAACATTTACCCCTTGAATCAAATGCTAATGCCACCCTGTCAAGGGCCTGTGGAAAGTCTCTGAGTATTACAACCTGTGACCACATACCGGCAGACACCAGCAGGTGTTTGAACCTTGCATCTTCAGCACCAAAACCCCATAATCCCTTGTCATGTATCCTAAAGAAGTACCTGTCAGTAAGTAGCAGGCTCTTATAATTGATGTGAGCCAGCCACTACAGGAGACATAACATACACCACGCCAGTGTTGGGAGACAATTGTGAGCTTTCTCTGGCTCTTTGCCTCTCATTCTGCCTGTACTTGGATAGCTTTGGTGCTGACAGGGATACTTGTCTCCACAGATAATACTTTGCATTTGTATATCACTTTTCATCCAAAAATTTCCAACCACTTCATGAACATTAGTGAATTAGCCTTCAGAAGCACCCCTATGAGGCAGGAAATTAGTACCCCCATTGTACAGAGAGGGAAACCAAAGCACAGAGACATTCAGCAATTCACATAAGTCATTTACAGAGGCTAAGATAGAATCCAGGAGTCCTTCCCTCCTCCCAGTTTCCTGCTCTAATTACTCAAGAAATATGAACCACTGTCTCAGAGACTGCAGAGAATTGGTGAGACTGCTGCCCCATACTCCCCCAGGGAAAACTGCCCACCATATTGCAGTTTTACATATTTGTTATTATTTATCTGAATCATTTCTTCTCAGGATAATTCTTTTAAAAACAATTAAGCGTCTGTGTGCTTTTAGATTGGAAGAGGGCTGCTTTTGATTATTATTGTTTGTATTACTGTAGTGCCTCGGAGCCCTTGATGATCATCTCTCTATTTATATGAAGTGGTATGCAACCTCATGGAGCAGACACCCAGGCTCCAGAGCGCCCTAACATTTATTCCCCCTTCACTAGAAAACTATGCACCTGATGTTTCAGGACAACCATTAATAATCTCCGCTCTTGGGGGAGCCTCGCTATCAAAGCATCTGGTTGGTTTATTAGTTTACGGTTTATTAGTTTACAGGTTATTACTTCTGTGGTTTAGATTTCTGTCTTGTACTTCTGTGCTGCAGAATATAGACTATGGGCCAGAACCTCAGCAAAACTCTGCAAAACAGAAGAGTGGGGAGAGGAATTGCTCTGCCCCCGTGATCCTGAGGCTGTTGGGGGTGGTTTGGGCCCCTGGCATAGATAAGTTAATGGGTGGGACACTCCTGTGATACCACTCTGCTGGCCAAGGAGTGCCCAAGTGCTCTGTTCATCAGCTTGATATCACTGAGAGATTCCCTTAGGCTGGGGGAAGCCCCCGCTTCCCGGTTAGGAAGCTTTCTGGCTACGCCATGCTGCCTGAGCACTGCAAAGCAGCCAGAGGAGAAGCCAAGGAGCGGGCCCAATGATTTTTCCAAGATGATTCATTCTCCAGCCGTTAGTTTGTGTTGTGGGCATGGTATTTTTCTGATCTGGGAGTGCAAACAAAGCCTAAGGGCCGCCTTCTTCCTTTTAAATAACAGCTTGTGACCATCACTATTGCTGAGCAAACAGGGATCCCCTTATTTTTCTCATTTTGGGCCCAACTATGCCCTTTCTACTGTGAGCAGTGCTGGAGGGCAGCAGAGCTGTGATAACCAAGTGAAGCTGGCCGGAGTCTATTGGTGTGGGGCAGACATGGTGAGTATACCTCATAGCACTCCCTTCACCTGCTGAGGA